TTCATCTTCATCTTCATCTTCATCTTCATCTTCATCTTCATCTTCATCTTCATCTTCATCTTCATCTTCATCTTCACCTTCATCTTCATCTTCATCCCTATCTTCATCCCTATATCTTCATCATTATCGCTATCCTTGTATTTTTATTTATCTTTAACTTTGTCCTGTTCTTCATCTTTATCATTGGCTTGATCCNGGGCGTAATCGTTATTTGCGGTCCCTGGTAAATTTATTTGGGACAAAAGCTAAAAACACGACAGCAGCAAAGCATATTACAATGCACTGCAGTGGTGAAAAAAAACAAATTTACAGTAGCTATAATAAAAGTAATAAAGCAAGCAATAACTAAATGTATGTTTGCATGAAGCGATATAAGAGAAACAAGTAAGAAAGTGTAAGTTCTGGCGGAGCCGAACATTAAATACCCGGCGCAGGTACTAAGTATATGATTTTNCTATGAGTGTCTGTTGTTTTGTCGTTGCCCTTGTATCTTGCTCTCTGTATTTTCATTACCCTCTCCACAATGGCGTTAAAAGTTCAATGCAGCCGCCCCTATCTATTCACGCATACGCATACATACGCAAAATGAAGTTTTATTTTCTGAGCANTGTAAGCCGGTGTGTATCAATTTTAAGTAAATTAGCGTCCTTAAATTTCGAAATATTGAAGTTTCAAGCATTTCTGAAATTTGCCGTTATATGAAAAGTGGTCGTAATTTGAATCTGATTCCAATAATTTTTCAACGTTTTGCTTCTATGTGGCAAGCACAATAATCATACCGAGTTTGATACAAATTGGTAGAACAGTTACCGAGATACATATATGTGACCATAAGTGCGCGGTGCCACGCCCATTTTCAAAATTTTATCATAAACATATTTCTTGGTAAATAATTGTTGCAANTACGCAAAATGAAGTTTTATTTTCTGAGCAAAAAATAAAACTCAAAAAATAACGATTATTTTCCGAGCAAAAAATAAANATACAAATTGGTAGAACAGTTACCGAGATACATATATGTGACCATAAGTGCGCGGTGCCACGCCCATTTTCAAAATTTTATCATAAACATATTTCTTGGTAAATAATTGTTGCAAGCATCAATTTTGAGTAAATTAGCTTTAATATTTATTGATTTATCAAAGACTTCGTATTTCTCCAAATTACCGTTATATGAGAGGTAGGCGTGGTTACTGTCCGATTTGAAAAATTTTCGGCCATTAGATATGCTGTAGCAAGGCTAACAACTGTGCTAAGTTTGGAAGAAATTGGTGCAACGGTTACCAAGATATACACTNCAAAACAAAACGATTATTTTCTGAGTAAATAATAAAACTCAAAATGCAATGATTAAACTTGATTTTCATAAGTAAAAACATGATACAATAATTTTTAGAAGGTAGTTTCACTTCAAAATTTTTGNAGAGGTAGGCGTGGTTACTGTCCGATTTGAAAAATTTTCGGCCATTAGATATGCTGTAGCAAGGCTAACAACTGTGCTAAGTTTGGAAGAAATTGGTGCAACGGTTACCAAGATATACACTTGTATCCATAAGTGGGCGTGGCTACGCCCATTTTCGAAAAATGTATAATATTCTAATTTTTCGTCTAAAAGTTATTTTAAATATCAATTTTGAGTGAATTATCTTCAGTAGTTATTAAAATATCGCAGTTTTCGTATTTCTGAAAATTACCGTTATATGGGAGGTAGGCGTGGTTAAAGACCGATTTTTAAAATTTTCGGCCATTTAGTATGCTATACCAAGGCCAACAACTGTGCCAAGTTTGGAAGAAATTGGTGCAGCGGTTACCAAGATATACACATGTAACCATAAGTGGGCGTGGCTTCGCCCATTTTGCAAAAATTTATAATGTTCATGTTTTCCGTCTGAAAGTCATTGTAAATATCAATTTTGAGTGCATTATCTTCAGTAGTTACTAAAATATCGCAGTTTTCGTATTTCTGAAAATTACCGTTATATGGGAGGTAGGCGTGGTTATTGTCCGATTTTGTCCAGTTTCAATACCATCCGTCATACGCCCGAAAGAAGTGCACATACCAAGTTTTGTTAAGATATCTTCATTTTTACTCGAATTATCGTGTGCACAGACGGACGGACGGACAGACAGTCACCGCTTAATCGATTTCTCTTTTCATTCTGATCATTTATGTATACATTTGTCTATATCTATATCGATTCGTTTTGTCTGTTACAAACAACCGTTATGTGAACAAAGTTATAATACCCTTGTGCACAAGTGCGCTCGGGTATAAAAAGAGCAACAAAAACACTTAACAGAAAGTGCAGCAGTTGTTGTGGGATGAAGTTAAAACATAAAATCAACAATGGCAGTTGAGTAGCTACAGATCGCAACTTGAGCGGCTTTGATGCCACATTTCTACAGCATTAAAAAGAAATTTATGAGATGGCATTAATTTTAAGTATTTTTTCAGATCTGCTGCCACAACTATTGTTGGTGGTTCTGGCGTCGTTGTTGGCCTCTTGTGTAACTATTGTTATTTTGTGGTTTTGCGGCATGTCAGCAAAGCAATCGGGGACATTGCAACACAATGCGAATTTGCAAAATAAAATACATGCATTAGCGCACGTATCCACTTCCAAATGTATATACACGAATGCACTCTTAAAGCCTGATTATGGCAACTTAACTTAACTTAATGGAACGTAGAACATAGAGAATTAAAATGAAGCAGATTTCGACGTGGCCTTAAGTTACGTAAAGTTTCGGCTGTTCAAATATAAGCAACACCCATTTTACAGAATTTTTAAGAGAGAGCCGTAAGTCACGTTAAGTTGCCATAATCAGACCATTACTTAGAATCGAAACGCAGTTAAAAGGGACACAACAAAGTGATAAATGCTACTGCTGTCACACACACATTCACACTCCGTTGACGCTACCCTGCAGGAGATTTCTCTAGGCCAAAAATAGTTCAAGATGCTTTCCTTTTTCCACAACACTAGTTCCTGCTCAATCGCCGAACAACGGCTTCAACTGTCTACTTTATAATGGAGCTGTCATTGGCGGTGGACAGTTGCCCCATAAGCATTTCAATGTACACAGTTCAGAGACAGTAGGCCCATAAGCATTCCAATGTATTCAGTTCAGAGATAGCCCCAAGAAAAATTGTTTTCGATCAGTTCCATAGTGAGTGGTTCTGTATCAGTAGCAAAAAACACACAAAAGAACTAGTTACATACTCAGTAGTTCGGGATTAGTTGTAAAAAACACACTTAAGAACCAGTTAAAAATTTAATTCAAATAATGTTGCTCCTTTATTTCATATATGTACATTAGGGTGTCACTTATATGGACGAAATTTTTTGTTTTGTAATTATCAAAATGCATACCCTCCAATTCTGTTAAGTATACTTACCTGTACTCAAATATAAAATTTTTCCTTTCTATGTATATTTTAACCCGTGCCGACAGGGGCTCAAAGTTTTAGCAAATAGTTTTTTTACTACATCAAGTAGCTAGATCAACGCAAATATCCATATGTTTGTTTAATATTGATGAAAATACACATTTAGGTAATGGCTTTCTTTAATTTAAAAAATTATTATTTAGGACATTTTCTTTTTTACAGGTCTATTCTGCACGTTACCGAAGATTTTGTAACCGGAAATTTTTATTACCAAAAAATGTTACCAGTTCTTGTCACCGCGATTCTAGGAACGTTGGTAATGCAGTTAAAGTATTCAGCAAGTCAGCTATGAAGAATTGTGCAAATTCTGGCATTGCATATTTCATGGGGCAATACTTTGTTACCAGCTTATGAGATTGTAACAAAATTTACCGGTTACAAGAGTCCAGAGAATGCGAAAAGGGTTTAAAAATTGACAGAAACTTTATTTACCGGTTACAAACTTTTTATTACCAGCGCAGAATAGACCTGTTAAAGTCTCTTTTTTACAATCTGGATACATCTTTCTATGTTCTTGCGCACATCGTAAAAGGAACTGCTTTTGTTCTTCGTCTGCGGTTATCAAACCATGAAAGTCTTGCATTAGTTTAACAGCTCTTTCAGCTGTGCCATTTACTGCTTTTAAGCTCAAAAACTTCTTTTTAGCTTCCACATAGGCGGCATTTTCTTCCCACGAAGATAAATTTGCCTGAAGGAAACTGCTGTCAACTTTAAATCTCGAAAATATATTTTTGCTCTTAACAGATATGAAATCACTCAACGATTTTTCTAAAACAAAAAAAAAAGTTACAGCATTAATTAAATTAAATAAGCAAAGTTTAAAATAACAGATTAATTACCACTTACCATATAAAGAGACCGACATCTCATCCTTCTATGTTCCCTTTCTTGAATTTCCAAAGATTTCTCTTTGTAAGTTTGCCAAAATTTTCAGCTTGGTTTTTTTATCAACTTCGTCGTCAACAATTGATTGGAGGGTTACTTCCTCTGATAAATACCATAGTTGTTGACTGAATTTGCTCAAATTGTCAACTCTTAACCTTGCAGGGTCTTTAAAAAACGCAAATCTTGATTCGGCGCCTTTACTGCTAAACAGCATCCAAGCCAGGGCTTTACATAAACTGTCACAATGAATAAACAAACATCTTTAAGCGCTTGTTCGTCCTTGACATTCATTTTAAACTGAGACTGCAGCAAACAAATCTTTAAAGAGTAAATAGCTCTTGCCATCCACCGTGCTTGATGCATTGCCTCCTGCCTGATTTTAATTTTATTTTCAGAATCTCCTCCCAAAAAAATAATGGCGAGTTCAATAAGTTCTTGATAGTCATCTCGTACAATCGATTTTCCCAGTTCGTTGTAAAAAAACGTCACCAATTCATTAATGGTCGCGTCACAGAAATGTTGTTTGACAAAATTATCGCATAATTCGATAGCACTAGGATTAATATTCTTCCAGTTATCTTTAAATTTTTTAAACAGTGGAATATCGGGATTGGTAGTGTCTTCTTGAGTCTTTGATATAAATACTTTTTTGAGCACAAGTTCGTAAATATGATGACGGGAAGCAAAGAGTAACAATTCTCTCTCTAATGCTTGCTCTAAAAGCACACAAGCTCCTTTCAAGCGGCCTGTATTAGATGCTGTCGTATCACAGCACATTATTTGTACCTTATCTTTAAGGTTCCAATCATTAAGCGCATTTGATACTGCTTTCGCTTGTTCTTTGCCGGAAGAGCTTTCTAATTTCGGTACTGCAAGAAGTTGTTCCTTCTCTTCAAATGAAATAATAATTGGCAAGCGTTCTTCTTTAGAACTTTTCACATCCAGACCAGGTAACAATTTTCCATCCCAATGAACGGTAACTACTTCGGGCATGTTATTCTGAAAATCGGATTTTATGGATTCTGCTCTATGTTTTCTCATTTGTGTTCGAATGCGTTGAATTGAAGATTTGTTAATTGGGTAATCGTCGCAACAAAGGCCTAGTGCTTCTACTACAGCCTGAATTATATAAACAGAATCTCTAATGCTGAGTTGACATCTGTTTAAAGTTGCAACCAATTTAGACGTGATAAAATCTTTCCTTCCTCTTTTTGTCGTCGTAGATAATAAACGAAGAGATTGAGATGTGGAAGGCAGCGGTTCGTTCAGGCTTTCTTCAGAGCTTGCAAATTGATCTTGTAATTCTGTGAGTGTTATATTGTTGTGTGGAGTTACAGATGTCAACAAGCTCTCTAAGGGTATTTGCTTTAGTCTATTTTTTTCTTTTGCTAGTTGTCTGAGCCTTGCCCTTTCTTCAATTATAGCTAACTTTTGTCTACACCCGCTAAGCAACCCGGACGCCCTGGCTCTCTGTTTTTGTAAGAATATTTTATCTTCTTCTATTTTAATTCTTTTGAGAGCATCAGCATGTGCGATATCGAATAAATTATCCAAATCCTGTTGAAACTCCTCCTCGCGACGTCTATGAAAAGCCGGTATCTTCTTGCAATTTTTTTGCAGCTCTCGCCAGACTTGATAAAGATCCACAAGTTTCTTAACACAATTAGGGACAACTCTGGTAGGTACCCTAGCCTTTTCCCAGAATATAATGCACTCACGAGTGGCAAGATTTGCGCTTTCACTAACAATCAATTTTACTTCGCGAATATTGAAAAATAGAACCGCGAGAACTTGACGATTAGACGGTAATTTTGCACCCGTTATTTGGTGGTTGACCTCACCAACCAAAAATATAATATTTTTATTGCTTCTTAGTTCCACTGAAATTTTCGAAATACGAAATCATCCGCGTTATTTACCCGACAAGCACGTGTTCGTCTTATTTCAAATTTGCTAAACGCACAGTTAATTCTTTATTTGCATACAGCTCACTCATGAAAGTAATTGCTAATTAATGAAACTATTTACAAATATAGTGCAAATGTTGAAATTTTATTTATTTCTGAATGGGAATCGCCTCTAAAACAGTTAGTCCAGTATTTGGGTCGTTCTTAAAAAACATGACCAATTGGTGTCCCCAGACTTTACTATTTTATATTTTGTTTCTTCAAAAAGAAAATAGAAAAATATCTGCATTTTTATAAATTATTATCGATTCTACGTAACTATATTATAAAAAAAAAATAATTAATTATCTGAAAATAACTTAAAAAATATTTTCAATGTCAAAGGTTTAGCAAAAACCTGTGTCCCGAGCCAATTTATAAAAATTTAATAGTTATTTTCAGTTGAAATAAAATTGAAAAAAAATAATATTTACAATTTTTGTTATTCAGTTTGTGTATATTA